GTGTGTGTGTGGGTGGGTGGGTGTGTAAGTGTTAGTCGTGTGGGGATGCCCCCTTACGGGGGCGTACGTGTCTTTTGGTGTATTTGTCTGTCTGGTATATTGTTTGTCGGGGGTCGCAATTTTAAAGAAATGTATTTTAAAATAATGCAAATAACTGATAAATAAGTTAAAACTTACATGGGCATAACCCCGGGACAGGTACCTGAACAAAGATGCCGACGGCCTCTATGCTTAACCGGGGATTAGGTCGGTGATTAAAAGGAAAGAAAGGGATTCTTTCCAGGTAGCCTTAATAAAGGCAGGTAGATTTTGCTCGTTGCAATCACCTCACAAACAAGCACGTCCGCTCAACTGTACAACTGATGAGCAATTGATTAGCATTTTGTAAAAACTGTTGTATGGAATTCACCGAATGATACATAATTTATAAACGTTTTATAGTCCAGTCACTGAAGGTGAAAATAAGGTAAAAGCTCCCAATTTTTTCGGATAGCATGGATTTTCCTGAAAATTTGTATACAATCTCGTCTGACCCCCCACAAAAGTTATATTGTCTAGATGTGTGCTTTTTTCTATTTGGGGGTGANATACATAATTTATAAACGTTTTATAGTCCAGTCACTGAAGGTGAAAATAAGGTAAAAGCTCCCAATTTTTTCGGATAGCATGGATTTTCCTGAAAATTTGTATACAATCTCGTCTGACCCCCCACAAAAGTTATATTGTCTAGATGTGTGCTTTTTTCTATTTGGGGGTGAAAACTACCCTTGTACGAAAAAAATGCGAAAATCGCAGATTTACGTATTTTAAAGATTCAATTAATGTTCAAATATGTTGGATAAAGTTCCTTTCATGTTTTTTAATATAATTTATGAAATTTAATTACTTTTCAACCCTTAAAAATCCCTAAAACTACCCTTCCATGGACAAAAATATAAAAAAAAAGTGTTTAACAGTTTAAAATATTTTTTGGTTCATTCACAATGTATTGCATTTCTTTTGTTATTCATTAGAAAGCTTACAACTCATTACAAAGTTGCAACCCTTAAAAACTATCCCTTATAATAAAATAAACAAAAAAAATATTATTGAAAGCTCGAGATGTTTTAATGGTATGCATATATTGAATTATAAACTTTTTATTGGTTTTCAAATGATCTATGATATATTGCAACTTTTCAGCCACCCAAAAAACCCTTATGGAAGACCTACCCCTCAAAAAAACCCTACCCTTTATAAAAAATTTCCTAAACATTATATGTGAGTATGATGATATAATTTTTTTTTTATTTTATTGAATGTATTCTTAATATTTTTTTTATTAAATTAATATCAAATCGCTCCGAAAATTTTACCGAAAAAATAGGTACGATTAATTCTTTTGACATAACTTTTGTAATTTTAAAATTATAAATTTACTCAAAAAACCATTTTGTAGGGAATTTAGAGTTCTGTGATTTGCAGTTTTTTTGAGCTCTTCGTTTTTTAGATTTGTAAGCTAAAAGGGCTCAGGAAAGGCAGTCTTGGAGCTTAGTTTTGAGCTTCTAACGGCCATAACCCATTCAAATTTTGTCCTACAAAAATTAAAAAAAGCAAATTGTTCAGTAAGAAAAAACCTACAATTTCTTATTCTATAATTTTTTAATAACTGTTAGTTTTTGAAATATTTTGTAAAAATGGCGATTTTTTAAAAAATTAAATATTTTATTCAAAAGTAAATGAAATTTTTTTTTAATTTAAGCTTCTAACATCGTTCAAATTCCCAGAATCTACTGTTAATACATAAATAAAGTAAATTGCAGAAGGAATACGTTTAATTTATTTTTTCCTTTAGGTCATTAATTTTAATACCGATTTTTTTTTTCTCAAAAATCAAGACAATCATTTTATTTTGATAGTAACTTCATTAGTTTTTATGCTTCGGATTCTAAATCATCTACAAAAATAAAAAAAAAACAATCTCTGTGCTATTTAATTACCTTCATTTTTGCTTACAATCATTTTTTTATAAAACTTGTAGTTTTTGATATTCGCGAAAAATGGCTCAAAAACATGCATTTTTGGCGATTTTTGGGCTAAAAACGAACATGTTTGGTCGCAAATAACTCAAAACGTATTGACTGTACAAAAAATTCTTATAGAACATTTTTCGCTTAAAATTCGTCCCTCTATCGAATCGTGAGGTTATTTTTAATAAAAAATTCCCACCCTCCAGAAGGGGTGGCATCCACCCCTAGGGTAAAAGCACAATCGGCACTATATAACTTTTGTTTCTTGGGCTATTCCCTAGCTACAGTCCAAATTCCACGTCAATGCATTCCATCCGAAAAAATTGGTAGCCAAAATGGACTATTATTGAAATTTTGACGAAAGCGCATTGATAATTTTAAAAACTCGCCCAAGTAAGTACTTTGTAGCTACGTAGAGTTAGAGTATTGTTCTTAAAAAGTGTTTAATTGCTTCTGCCTTCTGCTGCTTTAATGGCTTCGCCAGAGTTTTCTCTACATTTCAAAAAGTATTCAGCGATCTATTTACTTATGAGAAAAGCAAGCATTATTTTTTAAAATAATTTATTGTAAATTATTAAACTTAAAATCACATATACAACGCTAGCGCCTACTCTAAATCATATATCGACACCCTTCTCTCACTTATCACGGAGGATTTTCTGCTCCCTTTCAATAAGGGCACTTCGTGCTCAGTATTGTAGAAATTCAAAGTTTTTTCGGGGATACTTGAAGTACTTTTACACAACTGCAGGTAACTAGTATCAGTCACAGTTTTCAGAGTCTGCAAAATGTCGGAGGTAACGTTGATCAGACACAACGTGATTTCCCTTTCGTTGTAGCTGTTGAGCAGGTTCTCTAACATCTGCAAAAGAGATCAATGGGTAGAGTGGTTTAATTTGAGACCCTTCATTAGTTTACATGTAGGGCCTCCCCATTCGTAATTTATAAACGACTTAAAACAGTGATTTTGAGTTACCTTAGCTGCGGAATAATCAACTTTTATTATGTTGACGCAATCCACCACGATGGGCAGTTTTGGCGATCGGTTGTGTGCCTTTTTGACTGTCTCGGACACATAGTCAGCAGCGGGATAGTACAGTCCTAGTTCAGGCTTTACGTAGACGAATTCCCTGTTATTCTCCTTAGTCTGAAAAAAGTTGTAAGGGAACAAATTGGACCGTTTTTATTATTTTTTTTTGTTAGATACTTACCGTACGAATTTCAACTAAAATATTCGGCCTCGACCAAGCCTTTAGCAAAATCATCGCGTTGAATATACTGCCAATGACAATAGCCGCCTCTACACCCTTTACCACCCCAATGACGAACGTCATCAGCGTCAAGATGAAGTCGACTTCTAAAAACGGAAATAAAAATATTTGATGTAACACTAAATGCTTTTACACATATGTATACTCGACGGCCAAAATTATAGATAGTGATTCATCGCTAGCTCTTGGACTAGTAAGGAGGATGAGGCGTGCGGGGATCGAAAATCCATAGGCGTGTATACGTAAAAGGCAACAAGATGTAGAAAATATGGAAAAAATATAATAAAACATAACATCTATTATTTTTAGAGGTTTTATCGAGAAAACTTCAAAAATATTTTAGTAACATTTTGTTTTTAAATTTTAAGGGTTTTCTATAAAACGATGCCCTCTTGGGCATCGATAACCCACCACCACCCGGCTTACGCCGCCGCAAAATATTGTAATGTTTACTATTAATATATTTATTTAAGTAGGTACTTACATATTTTATAATAATTATCTCACGAATATTATCACTGTCACACTTTCACTTCACTGCCACATAATCACTTCACTACTAATATATTTAAATACTTACATATCACATTATTCACATTATATATTTCCTCAATCTCATCCTCATCTACTACATACTTAATGTATTGACCTTTTTCTCTTTGGACAATTTTTAATAATTGTACTTTTAGCATGGTTTCTGTATATTCAATATTTTTCGATCGTAACCAGTCCATAATATTTCCTTTTCTCCATGCTGATGTCGGTAACATTTCAACCCTTCTACTATGATAAGGTGCGTTATCCATCACAACAACTGCTCCTGGCTCCAGGTATGATAAAACATATTCAAACCATTTTTCAAACACGTCGCTGTTCATATCTTCATGATAATCTCCCGTTTTTCGTGACTCAAATACAAGCAAACCATTTTCTAAAAATCCCGTATCGCTTCCAATATGTGTTATAATCAATCTTCGTCCTTTTCCAGAAGGTGCCTTTAATCCAGTAGAAAATCCATCTAAAAATGCTTGTCTTTTACTTTTAACATTACCATTCTCCCAAACTTTTGATACAATATAACCTTCGTTTACCCATGTTTCATCCATGTAATATATCTTCTTACCAGATGCACGAAGTTCTCTTATTTTTTCTAAGTATTCTCTTCGCCATACCACAATTTCGTCTTTTTCAACGAGCATACTATTCCGATTTCGTTTCAAATATCGAAAATTCATGTTACGCATTATTCTTCTAAGAACCTTATCAGAGAAATTAGGAATATCCTCATCTTCAGCTATTGCAGCTTGAATTTTCTTTATCGTTGGTATTTTCTAAAGAAAAATCCATGAATTTTCCTACGTATGGAGTATTTCACGTCAACGTCGACTTCTATTTTCTTCCTCCCTCGTGTTTCCACTTTTTTCTTCTTTGGATTCACTTCACGATAAACAGTAGCAACGGATACTTTTGTCAACGAACTACACATATCAACAGCTTCACTTACACTTGTATTCGAATTTCGCGACCGAATTCCTTTATACACGTTTTTTACTATTATTAATTCCGCATCGCATAGGTTAGGGCGTTTATGAGCAACATACCGTTTGCTACAACCGGCACTTTGATCCATTTTAATTATTATTCCTACGTTTTAAAACGTCCCGATTATATTTTTTTAATTTATAAATTTACTATAGTCACGGAATATGCAAACCCTCGCGCGCGCTTATAGTTTGACGTTTCTAACTACGGCTAACTCGAATTCTACGTACGTCCGTTTACACCCACTAAAAAGAGCATTTCCCTATCTGTAATAAGTGCGATAGACAGAGATAGGAAATAATTCGCGTTCAGTGTAACTCAGTCTATGACTGTTACAGATCCTATCGATGTGCAAAGAGAGCGGCACATCATTTAACATAAGCAAATAATATTGAACCGTTATAAAAATAATTTTAAGTTTTATACACTTTACGGTAATAGTGTTTCTATATTATGTATGAATCACTATCTATATTTTCGGCCGTCGAGTATAGATAATACGTATTTTGTGTTCAATGAGCATTTATTAATAAAAAAACAATGTTTAATATTGGGTTAATACTGTTAATAGTTAACACATAAGGTCGTAACGCTACGAATTTATGTATCGTCCCAATAGTTCAATCTTCCTCTATATCTGCTCTGAGCAAATGTAATTTGGTGTACTTACTGTTGCATTTCCATAACACAGGAAATATTTCGTAGTCAATCAGGGAACTGCCTGCGGTTATGAGCACGGCTGCCAAAGTGGCCTTGGGAATGAAGAAGAAATATGGCGCTAGAACGGTCAGCGCCAGAATTATTACACTTCCTAGAAATATTAGAAAAACATATTTTCACTGGAGTGCTATTGATAACTTTAAGGAAAAGAATATACAGGGTCGGAACGTCAACATGGTACATCGGCCGTTACGTAGAGCGATAAAGTAAGTCATAGAAATCCGTACGATAGAGAAGGATGGCTATAATGAAGGCGTCTCATAGTTTCCCCTTCCACAAATAAGATCCACTTCCACTTGTAATTCAGCGACCGGTGGTCATCTTTGTTTTCGTCGTCTGGCTTTTCTTTAATAGATGTCACTACTTATACAATTTCGACTTCGGTATTCCGATATGTTAATACCATCCGTTAACAGTGGGCAGCACAACGCGTAACAAAGAAAACTTTTTACAGTAGCTAGTAGATACCTCTGTTTGTAAATCTAGTGACCTTGTTTCCCCTACTGAGAAGTTATTCAAATGGAGTATAGTGCTCAGATGCACTTAAAGTTCGTTTAGTTGTTATTTAAGTATACTTTTTAAAATGACTTAAAAATCCCAAGGAATAAAGCAAAATTTCCTATTTCCCCAATTCCAAAAAAATCTGTAGAGCTGGCATCACTCTTTCTAGGGCTGCCCTTTGTTAACGGATTATATTAACAGTCGGAATTGTTTAAGTAGTGATATCTATTACAGAAAAGGCAAACGACGAAAACAAAGATGACCACCGGTCGCTGAATTACAAGTGGAAGTGGATCTTATTTGTGGAAGGGGGAAACGGGCGGTGAACCATGGGGACTTTCCGAACCTGTATAGTTCAATCAGTAGGTAGAAGAGCTTACAAAAAATACCACCAGGAAACAAAAAATAAGGTGATATAGGAAAAATATTCTAAGAAAGATAGTGTATATTTCCTGTGGAGCATAGACGGCGAAGTTAATCTAAAAAATTCATATGTCAAAAAAAAAACAGTTTTTCGCTAATAAAAAAAAACTCCAATCGAAAAAGTTGTAGCTATTAAAAAAACCTATTGATTCGTATTTTTAAATATATCGACTGCTATATTACTTTTTCGAGATATATCGAAAAAACTGTCAAAAATCGACTTTTTTGTTTTTGCTGTATCTCTTGCAAATTAAGGTTTTGAAATTTGTTACTTGCTATAAATGTAGCCCTCGGCAAGCAAAAAGTGACATTTTTTAATTAAAAAATATAAAAAAAAAATCCGAGTTATATCGATTTTTCGAAAAAAAGGACATCTCGGAAATCGGCTGTTCTTGCTCGACGAATAGTCGTATAGAAACAAATCAGGACTCATTTTTTTCCTAAAGAGTTGTACTTTCATGGTAAAAGAGAGTGATAACAATTTTATTCATTTCTAGTTTCCAAAGATGACTGAAAAAAGTAAACATGTTTTGGTCGCGTTTTTCTTGAATATCTTTTTCGAATTTAATTTCTCGATAATGTCTATTACAGGAATCGATTTTTACAAAAATTTTTAAAGAAAAAACGTTACTCTACGACCTTTCTGGACCACGTACAAGAATTCTTTTGTACTTAATTTGGGGTAGCTCGACGAGATAAACCAAAATATGCCGTTTACGACAGCCTCAAAAGCATAATTGCCTTAAAAAATATATCATGTAGCTGCGTCAGCGGTTGCAAAAAATAAAATCTGTGGTTATAAAAAATTTTTTTGAAATGTCAAACATCCAATTAAGCGATGATTCTTTTGAAGAGTTTGAATCACTTTTTGATGCAACGAATTATGTGGAAAATGAAGTTGATTGCGTGGAAAATATAAGAAACGAAACCATGGAAGAAGAAGAAAATGAATCACAATCGAGGGAATTGAATAGAAGAAGAATTGAAACATAAGAGTGATATATGTACTTACATAAGCTTTGAAAATAAAAAATGTAATCGATTTTTATACCACATAATTTTCTGTACCTACGATAATTAAATAAATATTTTGTAATACTTTTATAACAAAAAAATTACCATAAAACGTTGTATTTACTTTATTTCATAAACAATTATTCAAATGTTAACAAAAGGTGAGAGTATTTTAGACTAAAGGAAAATAACATTTTTCATAGGTAATTAATTATGCTTTAGAGGCTGTCGTAAACATCATATTTTGTTTTATCTTGTCGAGCTACCCCAAATTAAGTACAATAGAATGTTTGTACGTTGTCCAGAAGTCGAGATTATGGAAATTTTGAAAGTAAGAGCGCTTTTGAACGCGCGAATTCAGTTTTCGAAGCGGCCGAGTAGCGTTATCCCCACTCCGCCGCCCGCTACAGTTAGCTCGCGCCGCTCTTGAATGCCTCCGTTTGACGCACAATTAAAAATGCAGAAGTGGCTAAAATGAACCACAGTATTTTTTTATTGAAAATATAAGTCACCTTCACCTTCAATCTCTGTAAGAATGGACGCTGTAGCACTTAAATAAATAGTGGCCTGTGGAATTTTTTGAAAAAAAAAAAATTATCTCGGCTCCAGAAGGTCGTAGAGCAACGTTTTTTTTTAAGTTCTCGTAAAAATGCCAGCAATCGGTTCCTGTAATAGACATTATCGAGAAATGAAAATCGAAAAAATTTTTACTTTCTTCAAAGTCATCTTTGGATACTTGAAATGAATAAAATCGTTATCACTCTTTTTTATCATGAAAGTACAACTCTTAAGGAAAAAAATGAGCCGTGTTTCGTTTCTGTACGACTATTCGTCGAGCAAGAAGAGCCGATTTTCGAGATGACCTTTTTTCGAAAAATCGATATAACTCGAAAAATGTGTAATATTTTTTAATTTAAAAAAAGGTACTTTTTTGTTTGCCGAGGGCTACATTTACGGCAAGTAACAAGTTCCAAAACTTTAATTTGCAAGAGATACAGCAAAAACAAAAATAGTCGATTTTTGACGGTGTTTTCTATATATCTCGAAAAGTAATATAGCAATCGATATAACGAGCGTTCAAATAAAAACGTGGTCGAAGTTGGCTCTGACACATTGAACGTAGGGAGTAGCTTATAGCGACCAACTTAACCTCATTTCTCAACGAACTGTATAGCAGCTGTCAGTTTCAATAACGTTAATGACTATATAACTTTATTTTAAAGAATAATCGTGATAACAATAACAAACAATTAAAGGAGCTGCGGAAAGTGTCCCCCTCCTTGTTATAACAATAAATTAAAGCAGCTGCTGAAAGTGTCCCCCTCCTTGTTCCAAGCACTTTTCACACCTGTTCCTCAAAGAATTAAAGACATTTTCTAAGATGCTCGGGGTATTGTTAATTTCACGAATCTTGTCTATAAGTCGAGCCTGCAGATGGTTTAAATCAGGAATAGGCAGTTCAAAAATAGTGTTTTTAAGGTAAGGCCACAAAAAGAAATCACACGGCGTAATATCACATGACCTCGGTGGAAATTCATGTTCAGCATTGAGACTTATTAGTCGATTTTGGAAAACTTCCCTCAACATATTCATCGTCTCGCCTGCCGTATGTGCCCTTGCGCCATCTTGTTGAAAGTAAAAGTTTGTAATTTCGTTTTCTTCCAGCTGGTTAACAAAAGGAGCGATAATTTCTTCTCTATACCTTTGCGCAGTAAGAGTACCATTAAAAAAAATAGGTCCATAAATCCTCCTTCGATTGAGAGCACACCAAACTCCAATTTTTTGAGCGTGTAGAGGGCCCTCGACAAAAAAGTTATCTGGTTTTTCAGAAGACCACATTCTCATATTCTGTGAGTTTACGTAACCACTTAAATGAAACCAGGCTTCATCAGAAAAAAAGGTGATATTATGAAGTTCACCGTAGTTGTTTAAAAACCATTCACAAAATACAGCCCGTCGCGGAAAATCAACTTCATGAAGTTCTTGCTGACAAGTTAAACGATAGGAGAACAAACGCAAATCTTTTTTTAACACTGTGTGGCAGGTACCGACTGATACTCCCACCATTTGTGATAAAACACGTACAGAAGTTCTTGGCGCATTTTCCATTATTTGTTGGACATTTTCTTTTAATTCTTCAGTCCGCTTTTTAGGTCGGCCGCTTCCTTCTTTTCTTGTTACACTGCCCGTTTCACGAAAAACATTAACACAACGCTGAACTGCACTTTGAAAAATTTTGTACTCAACAACGCCGGGAAATTGATTTTGAAATTCTATGAAACATTCCTCAATAGAATACTTCCATATTCCATCAATCTTGCGTCCATTTCTAAAGTAGGACTCTATGATAAACACTTTTTGTTCTTGAGAAAACACCATTTTAAACGCTTTTTAAAACGAAAATATTCAAATTGATAGCGGCGATATAGCGCTTTGACAGATGACGTTTAAGTTCATTTGCTATACGCTACGCCCTACGTCCAAATTTTCAGAACCAACTTGACCACGTTTTTATTTGAACGCTCGTTATTTAAAAATACGAATCGATAGTTTTTTTAATAGCTACGACTTTCTAATTTAACTTTTTTCGATTGGTGTTCAATTTTTTTTATAAGCGAAAAACCGTTTTTTCGACTAATATGAATTTTTTAGGTTAACTTCGCCGTTTATGCGCCACAGGAAAAATACACTATCTTTCTTAAAAATTTTTTCCTATATCGCCATATTTTTTGTTTCCAGGTGGTTATTTTTTGTAAATTTAACCTAACATAAGGCCGTGACAGATTCATTGGACTAATAGCAGGAACCAATATAGTAATTCCTAGAAAATTTCATTCCTGACAACTTTTTTATATTGCCATAGGCGTAGTTGAGGATATGTAACAGTATATTTATTTAGAAAAAATGGTACGCCACTGATTTTTTTTTTTTTCAGTTATCTCATTAAAAACAATTAAAATTTTGCTAGGAAGAAATCACAAAAGAAATAGCGGCCACAAATAGCCGTGAAATTAAAATATAACATAAGCTTCGATGTCTATGTGCCATTTGTTCAAAGTGTGTCGTATCACGAACAAAATGTTACACAAAGATTTGACTTTGTTTAGCGCCTTTTCGGCGTTCATACGGATCTCTACATCTAAAGAAATTTTAAAATGTGATAGAACTATGGCCTTCGAATTAATTAATGTCTTAAACTTTTCCCGATTGGGCTAGAGCTTCTATTAGTGCAAAAGATGTATTGAAAGTCAAATGCATAAAAAAACAACTCTTACAGCAGCCGTACTGGGTCTTATTATTATTATTATATCGTATAAGTACTATGTTCCGCGTGTATAATTTTCCCGAAGCAATAAAAAAACATCTGTTATTCTTGTATCTACCATATTTTTTTCTTACAAAAAGGTATAACCGGGAAAACCCTACCTTGACAGTTGAAAAATGTTCTCAGTTTCTTACTAAATAAAACCTTAAGCTTATGAAGACCTAGTAAACCATTATAGTTGTTTAAAAAAGTTTCATATATCTTATTTACTTTAAACTTATTCTAATTCTTAAATTAATAAACTAATTTGTCCAAATAACATACTTTCATTATCAAGGATCATAATATTATCACAATATAATAAAAATATTTAAACATAATTTAACGTTAAAATTGTAAAGCAAACAATTTAGCAATAAAAGTTTTTGATACATATCTAATCAAAGGAGTCGTGCAATTTTCATAGCCGCTGTGACCTACGCTCGTCCCTTGTCATTTTAGACAGGATTAATTATTTTGTTTTTCTCACAGCAACATATCGAATTGTGGTAAACATTTTCCATGGTTAATAATTTCAGTTTACTTTTTTACAAAATATACCGGGTGTTACGTTTTAGAGAAACCATTTTGTATTAGACTGATGACTGATTTCTAATTTTGAGACTTTTTTTAATAAATATTTAAATGTCGCGAGAAAAAGTTCCTTTCTTCACCTTACCAGAGTATATTCCTTGAAGAGGGGTGCGTACGTCGCTACTGCTGGCCACTGCCGATCTTGTAAAAGCACCACAACTCGGCATCGCCTTTACGAAAGAGCCGAAAATGTTGCAAAGCCCCAAGGTCATCATTTCCTGCGAGGCATCCACCACCACGTCAGCACCTGGAAGACAAGGTTAACCTTGATGTAGTTAAACGATTCCCAGATCGATTGCCACGTTATGTTTTAGACATTTTCGACTTGACGTTTCGAGAGACATGTCCCTTTATTCTTGAGGAGCTGCCAGTGCGTTTTGTCTTGTTTCGCCGTAAATGATAACAATATCCACTAATTCTGTGTTACTATACACAGGCCTTTTCGAATACTTGTAAGGCTGATATAAACAGTAATCCGCGGTAATAAGGACACCATGAAAACCACAGTAATACTGAATATACACTACGGTAAGAGAGAAAAAATGGAAAAACTCTTTTATTTTTTATTTTACGGAAGAAAGCACACTTAATAAAAGGTTGTGTTTGTATTTAAAATGAGGTTGCCGTGAAGAAAATTAAAATTTTATGCACGGGGTCTCCAGAAACTTTGGCGTTTGTCAAATCGAATCGGCTGCAGCTACCTGGAGGGGCGCGTGAGGGAAAATTAAGATAAATAAACAAACAATAGAACGCACTCATAAAAATAATTTCAGCCCAGATGAAATTTTTGACCTGTCTGGTATTTAAAAACGGTTCGACGTAAAAATGTATACTAATACAGGTCAGTGACTTCAAACCACCCCGCACACGAATCAGTATAAATCAGTACACACAGCAAATGGAAATACCGGCCAGACGACTTAATACTTCACGTTCAGCGTTTCTTCTGGAGAAGAGCGCGATATGTCGCTCGAAACGTCAAAAAGTCTAAACAGACCCGGAAATTGTTTAACTACTGTCAACATCAAACCAATCGAACAAAAAGATTTAGGCATGTTGAATATAAAAACATTTTTTCTTACTGTACGATTTGGCTATGGCCACGTTAGCCAACACCGCCACGACTGGTATGACGATGGTCCCAGAGCCTAACGATTTTACCATTTCCCTATAACCCACGGTCTCGTTGCCAACTTTGGCCGACAGGGCTGGGAAACCGACTTCAGGCATTCCTTTGGGCACCGGGCCAGTCAGTTTAAAAGGTGCCCCGCCGTTATAATAGAGATAGGCACCGAAGAGGCTTGTCATTAGAACGATCAGCGCATTCTTCGATATCGAAAGGAACCAGAGGAGCTTCTTCACCGAGGGGCTCCTAGTTGGGATCTTGGTTAGTTGCTAGAACAAAAAGCAAACAAACAAACTAGAATAAATGTGTCATCCACCCAGTAGCGGCATCTATACAGGGTCATTCACAACTTACCCAAAGAAATTTGGGAATAGAGAAGAAAAATATTGAAATTGTAGTATTTTTAACCTTTACATCGCTGGACTATTGTAGTCTCTAACGAAACAGCCGGTATGTCTCTTCTTTATGCGCAATATCTATTGCATTGCAATGTTGTTTTTTTACTGTCAAGTTCAGCGACCTGAACACTCTAATGCACAGTAGTTTTAGTATCCGGTGGATATATTTTTCAGTGCATGAACATCAACAAATATGTAAAACCGAAAATATTGATCAAGAATCGGAGGATCGATTTCTTAAATGAGGTATTGCAGCTGTGTAAAATTGACCCCTTATTTATTAAGGAATAAGCGAACGCTTATCAAGGTGGTACTTCAACCGCAACTAACCTACGCCTCCACGGCGTGGGGTCACGCGGCAAAAAGCCACTTAAAGTCATTACAGGCTGTGGAAAACATAGCCCTCCGCACGGCCACCGACGCGCCCTGGTACGTAAGAAACACTGACATATTACGAGACTTACAATACACAAACGCTACACAGACAATAAGACAAAACGCGGAGAAACGGTTTGACGTAGCCGCTAGACATGACAATCCCCTCCTCAGGCAAGCCGTTGACTACGTACCCGACGTGACCGACAAACACAAAAGACCTAGACACCAACTTTTTGACCCTGGGTGACCACCCCAACGACATCCCCCCTGCCCGCTAACCTTTTCTGTTTAAGAGACAGCCAGGATCAAGAAACGAAGACAACGACACACACACACACACTCACACACACACTCCCCATCCCCTCCCTACCCCTTCCCTCCCGCGCTAGCCTAAGGGCCACCTTAGCAAAGCTCATCCCAGGCTGCATAGACGCACTACCCTACCCAACCATACCACACATAAACATGACACCACCCCCCGGGGTTTACACAGACGAGCCAGCAAAGCAAGAAGAGCGCCAGAAGAAAGGGCCCTAGCCGGCGGGGCCCAGCCAGGACAAAAGGAGGTCCCACAAAGCGCCTACACCGGCCGCATTTGCGGTCGGGGTGGACAACGGATGGGGCCCACCTACGAAGGCTGTCCAGGCCTACACGAGATGAGGCAGGAAAAAGAGGGATAATCCCCCTCGATCCCAAATCATTGAGGCCAATTTCTAGCCATGGAATAATGGCGACCCCTTATTTCTAGATCCACCAGCCGCCACCGTACTCACCTTAAAGCAAAACAAAGAAAGTATGCACGTGACTCCCAGCAAAGTGTCCTGCCACTTAATTTCTCCGATGTGGTTGCTCAGTTCCACGATGACTTCGAACGTGTCGTGGCTATGCAGCTTTATGCCTAGCAGATGCTTCAGTTGGGCCACTATAATTATTATAGCGCTGGCCGACGTAAAACCCGAAGTTAAGCAAGGCGAAATGAAATCCACCAAAAATCCTGAAAATAACAACAGAAAATATGAAGATGATAAATAAATACACATGTACACAAAACAACAAAGTGGCATGTTCAGTAGTTTTTCAACCACAGAATACGAATTTGACATAAAAATTGTTCTATCAGGTCCGATTTTTTTTCTAAAGATAAGCCGAAATAGCAAAAAATTGTGCTTGTTTCTGATGAAACGCTATGCGTCTGATTTCACGAGAAACTATCTTACATCATATACTCTTAACATATAGGTTAGAATTTCAACATAACCTTACAAACTTGCGTGAAAACAATCGATTTAAATTGTATGGAAATCCGGACATAGCATTTTTTTTACTACATTTTTTAAAGGGCTGGGTACAGAGACACCAGAATTGATCAATCAATTACCACATTTTAATCCCAGAAAAATCAGGGTACCTAATCGAATTTTTGTATATATGGATTTCCCTGAGCACTTATAACAATAATGAAAGAAATTTGTAAAAAAGTTTGTTTTTTTTAATCGTAGTGTGAAAATTGTATGGTGTGCTCGTCAGCCATGTCAGTTTCGTCGTGTTGTGCATGACCTCACTTGAGACCAATCGTCAAACTTCTGCTACGTTCATACCACGTTAGCTATATACTATAATAAATTGACAATTTAGGTTGATTGTGTACGTAGTTTCCAAATTTACATACGATATGAACCGTATTTAAAAAGTTAGTTTAAATATAGCTGGGCTGCAACAGCTCTACATGATTAGAAACACGATAGAAGGTTGCATTTTCATGCCAATATATGCCATGATTTCGTTAGTTTTGCTCTCAAGTGACGTCGCCACATGCTATACAGGGTGTTAATAAACTTATGTCAAAAATTTAAAGGGGTGAAAAAGAAGCAAAATCTAAGTCAACTGATATCACAAACTTGTATCGGAAGTTTAAGGTCACAGAGAAAAAATCTAATTAAAAATGTGTTTAAAACTGTTTTGGAAATACATGTATTTAATCGCGGCGAGTACTTACAAAAAAATCTGTAACACTTTATACATCGACCAACTGCAACCAACATCGTATTGCTGAAGCTTGTAATACGATTCGAGAAGACGTGGCAATGTTGCAACGTGTGCGAGCGAATTGGATACGTCGCGCTGAAGCTTGTGTGCAAGCAAATGGTGGGTACATCGAACATCTTCTATGAAAGTCAGTAGTTCTCAAAAGGTGGCTCTTTGCAATGTTGAGGTAAGTCAGATTAAAATTACATTATACTCAACACAAATTTACCTCATTTTGACAAATGTGGCAAAAATATTTGACAAGTTCATTAACATCCTGTATTTATTAACACTACCATTTCCTCTAGGGAACAGCGAATATCACGCGCTCTCCACCGATTACTTGAATTAGAGAGTTTGAAGTTTAGGTTTATTATAGCTCTAAAACTCTTTTCGCTCGTCTGTCGGAGGTTTTGCTTGATGGATTTTTGAGGTTAGATTGCAGTTCTAATTTACACCCTAAAATAATTGAATATTTAAGTATTAAAACAAAAATCGATCAATTTTTGTGTCAAATTTGGACTCCACTCTGCAAGAAATAATTTGTCATAGTATCGAATTTATGTAACCACACTGTAATATGGTATTTCTAAGATGGGTAATTCAAGATTTCAAAATTGGCGCTGTACTGCTGTTTGTGGATTATTGTTATTGTCGTCTTTGTACGTGGATGGCCACAGTCTTATTTACGATGAATGATGAAAAAAGAATAATAACGTAGTTAAGTGACTTATAAGAATAATAAAAATTCCTTTTATGTCATGGCATCAGATCAAGATAATAAACGAAAGAAAATAAGTATCTAACACCTGTTGTAATAATTTAAGCTTTATAAACCTTAAAAACTTGGGGGTACGAAAAAATATCAACAAGCGGTCGTTTTATTGTTGAAACTAAAAATATATTTTTATCTTTGAAATAAACTAAATCTCAGCCCACCTAATTTCAGGACGCCCATGGTAAATTCCACACAGCCAGCAATGAACGTCAGTAAAATCACGTACTCTACGGGGTGAGGAAAAACAAATGAAAACGTCAACAGAGACATCAAGCTAGTCGGTCCAATCGACACCTAGAACAAACAAACGCGTTCCTTTGTTAATAGTGCGAGATCTTATAGTGTACGGTTTGCTTTAAACGTACCTCTTTTATTGTTCCGAAGAAAACGTACGTGAAAGACCCAATGAAAGCGGTGTACAGCCCATATTCCGGAGATATTCCGGCCAGACCGGCGTAGGCGATGGATTGAGGCATCATGGTCAGGCCTACTGTGAGGCCGGCTATGAAATCTGCTAGAATGTCATTTTTAGTGTAGTTCGGTAGCCATTGCAAAATGTGGAGGCGTTTTTGGAGGAGCTTCTTTATCCTTGATGTTGGCGCAAACTTGGAGGCTTTTTCGTTCGGAGGACCCACTGAAATTTGTTTAATCGCACGTAAAAATATAGTGCAGAACGTTATACAGAGTCCCTAAAGTGCATGAAAACTGTCGATTATTTCCTAATAGACCAGAGCGGATCTGTTTTGAGGTAATTTTTGCTGTAATACCTTCAGTACAACTCACAAAATAAAAGGGTGGATCCCTAGATCTGGGCGAGGTCCGAAGCATTTTCAAAATTGCAAAAATGTTTAAAAGATGTAAAAAAGTACCTATTTTATCTTGAGTTTTTTACTTATATCTTGGAACCTATGCATTTTGAAAGAATATTGAAGAGGAAAAAAAGTTTTAGAATTGAATTTTGCACAATATACTGTGGGTTAAAAATGTTTAAATTTAATACCGATGCTGCAAAATAGCAATAATTGATGAAAAAAGGCAAAATTATCTCAAGTTCTTTGAATAATTTTTTAAAAATATTTTAATTGCTTCGAACGCATTCTATTTTGGTAAAAAAAACTTTAGAGTATAATAAAACAACACACCAAATTTCATTAAAGTCGGTTCGATAGTTTTTGCAAAATAATTTTTTGAAAAAAATTTTTCACATAGAAAAGACCGCTCAACCTTTCAAAAGGTTTTTGAAAAATTAAAATCGGTTGATTAGGACGGCCACAGTCAATTTTTAAAGTTAACTCTTTTTTATTTTTTAAACAATTAGATTACATTTATCAATTTGCAATTTAGTTTTTTTCAAAATTTATAATTTTAAAGTACCTACTATTTTTTCTTAATTTTATCTGTATTTAACAAAAAAAATAATTTTCAAATAAAAAAAATATGTTGTTTTAATTTGTTTAAACAAGAATTATTTAAATAATTGTAATAATTACAAGTAAATACATTCATATTCAGAAAGTTGAAATATATACGTAAACAAATTTTTTCATTGAAAAAATGAAATAGCGTAGGGTAAAATATACAGTACATTTCATGCATAAATAATAAACTTTGTTTATAACAAAATATGTGCAAATTATACAGTTCGCGAGACATCGGGTTAAAAAAAAGATCAAAATTGGTCCATTAGAAGCCGAGATAATGCAATTTTTTTCGTACCTTCGCATTTTGAAGCTCCGAATTCAGTCTCAGAGCGAAAGCCCCCTTAGGCCAGTCATTATAGCTTTTTTTCGGGAAAAAAATACTATTAGAAGTTTCTCTGCGGAATGTTGTTCAGAAACGTGTTATAAACAAAATATCAAAAAATCAACTCGAGACTAGTTGGGAAACGTTTGTTAAAACAATGGTCAAAATTATGGGAAAGTGGTTTTTTGACTCGCGTAAAAAAAACTGTTATTCATAGAGAAAAAAGATTTATACAAAAAAGGTAGGTATTAAATAAATCTGTAAAATGAGGTAATTCCGATTAAATTCCGATAATTTGTTTATGCGCAAGAGCTCAAGAATGGTCGAAATTGTCCGCTTTTTTCAATTGCTAATAATTAATGCAATTTTCATCGCAGACATTTGTAATTCAGGATTTCTGAGGTTTTTTGCACTCTTAATAAGTGGTAAAAATTTCAGCCCAAAAGCTTCATTAGCTTGGCGTTGGCGGAATTTATTATCTAAGATTCAATTCAATTAATTTTTCCCAAGCTCACAGGCGTTGTAGGGTTTCAATCATTAGTTGTTTTTGTACCTACCTAAATAGTTGTATTGACATATGCATTTACTGACAATTTAATTTTTCAAATTTAATTTGTTTAAAAATGACTGAAAAAATGTTAATATTTATTAAATTGTTAAGTGCACATGTTCCGCCTCGCTCTCCCCACTCGTTCGCTAGACCAAGTAATAGAACGCATCGCCGCTATCTTCTTTTTCGCAATTAAATAGTTGAATTCACTTTAATGTTAATGTAGGACATGAAAATATAGCTCTTAATGTATACTCTCTCCAAATTTCGGCTCTTAATATTAATAATTAAGGACACTGCGATTAAATAAAAATAAAAAATTATCTCGGCTTCTAATCAACTTACAACAACGATTTTTTTTTAAATTCGAAGAAAACTAAAGTATAGAGGTTACTATTTTATTTTATAATAATTACCTATCTTAACAATTTAATAAATATTAACATTTTTTCAGTCATTTTTAAACAAATTAAATTTGAAAAACTAATTTCTCAGTAAATGCAAATGTCAATACAACTATTTAGGTACAAAATCAACTAATGACCGAAATTCTACAACGCCTGTGAGCTTGGGAAAAATGAATTGAAAATAGCATCTTCTTAGATAACAAATTCCGCCAACGCCAAACCAATGAAGCTTTCGGGCTGAAATTTTTACCAATAATTAAGGGTGTAAAAAGCCTCAAAAATTATGAACTACAAGTGTCTACGCTGAAAATTGCACTAATTATTAACAATTGAAAGAAACTGCCATTTTAGACCATTTTTGAGCTCTTGCGCATAAACAAATTATCCGAATTTAACTTGTCTCATTTTAAAAGTTTATTTAATACCTATCTTTTTTGTATAAACCTCTTTTCGCTATGAATAATAGTTTTTTTACGCGAGTTAAAAAACCACTTTTCCATAACTTTGACCATTGTTTAAATAAAGTTTCCCAACTAGTCTCGAGTTGATTTTTTGATATTTTATTTATAACACATTTCCGAACAATATTCCGCAGAAAAACTTCTAATAGTATTTTCCCCGAAACAGGCTGTTCCATGTCTATAATGACTGGACTACCTCCCCCACTTTTCGTGTTCTGAGTCACTTTTCGCGCGTGCGAGCGACAGCTTTTCCGCTGATTTATTTATGTTGCCGATAACTTATGGATATGAACATTTTTTCCAGCTTAGAATTCGGAAAAACGAAACCACTGGATCAAAGATTACATATTGCTAAATTGTTTATAAATTAACTGTAAATGCCGTTGACCGTTTTAACAATTTGACAGAAACCCAATTTCCATAAGATTATTGCGGGGTCCTTTATACGACTGCAAACATTTAAGGGTTTTTTAACATCTATTACAATAAAGAAAAAGTAACTACACAGGATCAGTCAAAAAGTCATGACGAAACAAAGTTGCTTTTTATTTAATGGAATACCTTGTATATTATTCCATATTACTTTTAGAAATTCTAAAATGTTTTCGAGATATCGAACATTGAAAATAACTATTTATTACTTTCAAATTTATAAAAGAAAAAGGGCCCCAAATTATAGATAAGTATTTATTTTGAAAATAACACAAGGCGGAGGATATAGATATGATTTAATTTTATTATTAGTTTTTTATAGAAAATAAAAAAGCATAATAGTTCAGGGTTGATGAAAATGCATGGAAAATGTTGTTTTTTAATGAATGTCCAGGACCAGGATATTTTAAATTTTATGAAGACAATAGTTATGCCAGAATAAAAGGTGTTCAAAGTGTTCACCATCTATCTCTGACAGTAATGAATTCGCTGAACAAAATTTTGTAGTGAATCAAAAAGTGTGTTGGGAGGAATAGTGGAAATTTCATTCCTTATTCTTTCCTGCAACTTTTTGATATTTTGCGGTCTATTTTTACAGACTATGCGTCAAAATTTTGTAACTGATCAAACAAATGAACATCATAAAGGTGTCGAAATAAACTGATTTTTTTACTTTGTTTTAATAGAACTCTATCCAGGGTGATTCGTAATTGTACGTCGTAAAGCATAATGCTACGGTAAGGAAGATAGAAAATTAGAACATTTTCTTGATAAAATTTTGGTCAGTTGAGCCTATTTACGAAGTACGTCCCTGCAAAGTCCTAAAATAAAATTTGTTTCTTAATCATTTTGAAATGGTTTGAAATAAAAACCAGAAACTTGTAGAAGAGTGCATGTCTAATTGGAACATGATTTAGTGGTATTTAAAAAAATCATTGGCGTAGATAGGGGGCAGCGCTGTCATTTTTATAAATATAAAATTATAAAGTTAGAGAATTTTTTATTAACCTTATACAATTTTTCGCAATAATATCTGTATTCTGGACTCATTTATGCCATTTACTCCGTTTAATTCTAATTTATTTTGGTGGGTCACTGAGATTTACACCAATTTATTAAATTCGTTTTTTTTTAATTGTGTATATATCGAACGACGCAGTTCCCGGTAAAACACCCTGTATAAACAGTTTCTTTATTTCTCGTTTTCTATATTCTATAGTATTGTAGAAATGAAGATCATATGCCATTAGAGATATTTCTTCAGCTTTTAATAACATGCACCTACACTTTTTAAGGTTTATACTTACTTCTTCACTGACTTCTAGTTGCATTAAAGATGTTAGGTCGTCTCCTAGCACAATTTTTTAAACTATTACTGCGTTCCTTATGGACTCCACCAAGAGAGATACTGCCATTGCTATATATTATTTAAATCTTATATTATGTTAAATTCCCTGGAAACGTAAAGTAAATATTAAGACAGTATAATTTATTATTTAATGTTTTTCGACAGAGTTTGTTGTGAGATTATAATTTACCGTCTTTTACGTAGGACGTCAGATAATTTGTATAAAATCATATCCAAATAACTGCAATAGTTTTCATGTTTCGTTAAATACGATGTGCAAAAATATTTTTATAACCGTAATATTTTACAGCAAAAAATGTAATACGTGTTTTGATAAGAATGTAAATGGAAAATGAATGGGACAATAAAAATACTCGTACGATAGTTATAGTGCACGAGACGCCACTGGATTTGCATGATCTCGTTATTAAAAATTAAAACACCAGTTCACTAGTCAGCAGTTCTTCAAATTTATTTTGAATATTATTTATTGCCAATATTCTTCGAATTTGTTTGTTTTGTTGTAATAAAATATTTTCCCATTATTTAAGTTTATTACTCTTAACAATATTTAAACTCTCTGTTAATCCAGACATTTATTATATTTATTTTATTTTACAGTATATACTTAGATTTTTATCTTCATATCTAAGTGCTATATTTAAAACTTTTTAAATTTCATTCAACAGTTACAACAATTCGGTTTGTAGAAGCATAGTGAGATTAACGCAAAAAGGCTTTATATTTGCACGTATAACTTAATATAATATTTTTGTTAAGCTTATAAAACCAAATTACCGTCACGAGGCTTTTTAAAAAATATATAATAATTTGAAAAAGGTAACAAATCCATTGTTTCTAAAAATAAGATACCTTCCAAACACCCCATATTTTCACATTTTGACGATTGGAAAAATTAAGGTGATCATATTAATGGAGCCTTTTTTTAATAGCCTAGAGATAAAATAAAAAAATTTAAATAGCCGGGCCAGTATGGCCCACCAAAATTTAGTTAAGGATGCACAATTTAAGTGGCCTTTTTGGAACATCACCTGGAAATTTTGTTTATAAAAAATCTACACATAGTTTTAATCAGCATCACTTAAAATTCCTCTAATATAAAATATATCTTTAGTTAAAATATCGATTTACAATGCAGAATAATTTTTTTTATACAGCTTTAAAATTTTACATTTATGAAATTTGATTTAAAAATTCTAGGAGGCCTTGGAAAAGCTTGAATAAGGAAAATTAGTTAATAAACTATAAGTCAACAAACGTGAAGTTAAAGATTTTCAAATAACAAATTGTACACCCTGTATATTATTGTGAATTTTTGGATTCTACGTCAATTTTTAGGTGATCTTCCATAAAGGTCTCCTATTCTTAAAGTTAACCGTTTTTGGTATATTTAATTTATTTAAAAAAAAAATTAAAAAATGTATGTATTTTACAATAATAAAGTTAGAGAGATAAAATTTATAGGGGACATAACTAAAACTCAAAGCTTCCCTGCCATAATTTCAAAATGACTTACATTCATATAGGGTGGTGAATATTTAATGCCGAATTTAGTCAACTTTAAACCATCCTGACTTATTTTTTTTAAATGGAACACCCTGTATGGCGGCTTAAAAAGAGTACCGGCATATTCACGATTAGTAAAAGCATGATGGTTCATGGTTGTAAAAAAGCCGAATGAAATGCGAAGTTGAGCACAAAGATCACAATAATTAAGAAAAATAAAGAAACAATTATTTAAATTATAGCACACGAAAGTGACAATCATTAATATCAATACAATGAAACCGTCACTATGAAAGATGCCTACTATGTGAAAATGTTAAAAAAAAGTTACTGTTTGAGCCATACATTATTTAAAAAATAATTATTTCTGACTAAACTACACAGAATTCGAAAAAGTAGATACATTTTTTCCTTCAAAAAAGCCCAATTCATTAAAAAATAATATTATTTGCTTGATAATTCAAAAGAATAAAAAAATTCGAAAAATTTCTGTTAAAAGAGTAGTTACAAAACTTTCCTTATTTATAACCGACTTTGATGAAACTTATGGTAGTTAAAGACCCTTATGGCGGGCCAACGGTGCTCCGGAGGACCAATGTTTATAGGAACTTTTTTTGGCTCTACTTTCACCCCCTTAAATTTTGTACCAACTTTTCCAAACACCCTGTATATCATAAAATGTGTAGAATCAACTTACATATTCCAATCGTGTAAACAATGATCAAGCACTTGCGGCTGTAAAACTCTTGGTCGAAACAGAATGACCGGTAATACCCGCGAAAGACGCTTTCATACACATTATATACAAGGCGTTTCACATAAGAATCGACCCAAAATTTGGTGATTTAACGCTAATGTTATTCGTGTTTTTGTTGAAAATGACACAGTTTTTTGAAAACTAACAGGAGTAAGAAAAGTTTTTTTACTTTAAAAAAAGCAAAAATTTTATGAAAAATAAAAACCACCCGCTTGCACCTATCGAGTTTGTGTATTTGAACCCATTGAACTTTCGACTCGAGTCATTTTTCCAAGGAATCCACGAAAAGGAAGAAATTAATAAAACAATCATTTTTACATATTACTTTATTAGGTACCTATTTTGTACAACAAAAATTTCTAATAATTTAAAAATCTGCAGAAACAATAACACATCGAGTAAATATCACCAAGTGAAAACGAGAAATAAAATTTATACAATCTGCCTTCTAGAATCGCTTTAAAAAAGTGTAAACCTTACGTATATGTTTATATACACCCTCATCGCATGAGGCATACAATAATTAATTGTAAAAATATAATCATCTGGTTGTATAACTTGTGGCACTAAAATCAAGTCTACAATTGTCAGTGCTTCGTTTGTTTCTAGCTAGTACGGCCTACTCTGCTCGTTCTGCACGTGCTAGGGGAGCAAGTGGTGAAAATAGCGAACCACGCTTTAGTTTCTCCAAGTAAAATTAAACAACAATTGTATTATTGTCTTCATTTTACTATATTAGATTTATATTACGATATTTATTATAATTTAGATACCTTATTACTGTTTACTTATTAGTTTCTTTAAAAGTTTAGAGTGCCAATTAAAAATCGAGTTTTGGGAAGGTACTAACGATATAGAAAAAAATCTTTTTCACCACTCGAAAACGCTTACACTACTACAAGGAACAATTTGTTCTACATGGCAAGTGAGCGCTTTTATAAAGTAAATAAATATTCCCTATAATAAATTTGAAGAAATATTTTCTCCTGTTTAAAAAGATTCTGGCAACTGTGCATTTTGCGTTTTATACAAGGTGTAACGCAACACAGTGTTAAAAATGAAGAAACATTTGTCTCGTCGTACAAGTAGTACCTTGATAATTTTGAGACCAAAATATTATACCTTAGACCGTGGTGCTTTATATCAGGCTATCTTGAATCTGAATTTGTATACAATTATATCAACTTGTCACGGAGATATTGATAGACACTGTCTTTAATGTCAGAATTTTGACGCTAGTGAATATTTTGTAAATTCAGTTTGATTTGATTCTCAATTATATTTCAGTGAAATAAATATACTCCATTTTATTTGTAAAAATAAGTAATTTTTTAACCTAAAATAAATATTACACAGTTGAATAACAAAAAAAAAACTGTTCCTTTCACAAAACAAAATCATTTATAGGAATTTTTTGTTGCAAATAAATTTTAAATATAATGTAATCGTTATGAATAAAAAAAAAAATTGGTGTAGAAATTTTAAATTTTTGTAAATGGCAAATTTCTATATACCACTGAACTTTCGGGACTTTTATAGATATGTATTTAAAATTATATTTGTAATAAAAAATTCCTGTATATTTTTTGGGAAATGGACAGTTAAAAATTATTTTCGCTTCACTCGACTGTGTAATAAATTTATTTTGGGCTACAAAAACTAAACTTGAAACCGGTTTGTTCTTCAAATAATATAAACTAATGCAAAAAATTAAAGGATCAAAAGAATTTCCGAAATTTTTTCGTGATTTTTGACAGACTGTATTTAGGTGAAAAATTGTCGTATCGGGAATTGAAAAAAGCTTTTTAGAGCTCTAAGATTCTAGTTTTTAGATCTTTCGGTCAAAAGTTTTTAGGAGCTACGGTTATCATGCAATTCTAATAGCGTGACAAAAAAATTTTGCAAAGGTTTTCTCACATTTTTCCGGAAAAAACGTTCAAATTGATGAAAAAAAAATTTGTTCCTGAAATTTTTTCATAGAGAAAAAAATTTGAAATTTGTCTCAAAAAACGGTATGGGTCTAGTTTATTTTTAATTTAATTAAAAGTTGATGAACAGAAGCATAGGACGGAAAAGCCGAATCGTGCTAGAAACAATTGGATTTTGTTTTCTTCAGTGCCCGGAGTTTTCCCAAAACAAAAAAAAAATTATTTTTTTTTCATCAATTTAAACGATATTTGCGGTAAAAAAAACTCAAAAAACCCAATTTAATCACGATTATGAAGTGTTTAAGCTCAAAAAAACATTTACCTTTAATTTTTTTCAAAAGTTTGACTGAAACGAAAAAACGGTTCGCTAAATCGAGTTGAAACTTCACAGTGTTCTTCTGGGTATATCGAACTGTAAGTCATGCTTAATATTAGTCATTTCGTGAATATTTCTAATTTAGTCGTCTATTTTCTAAAAAACCATAAATTACCCTTTTTTTTCCTGTTTCTTAAAATTTGTGTAAAAGATGAAACAAACATTTTTTTCTGAAAAGTTGCGGCAGCATGTTATAGGAAATTTATTTCAGTTTTCGAAACTGTCCTTCAATTCTCTGCAGGACCATTTGTCGCCGAGATATCGATGATTGAAGACAAAAGACAAATTTTCCATTAAAAGTCCGATATCTCGATGAAAAATGGTCATATCGAAATTAAAAAAAAAGCAAATTAAAGTTGAATGAACAAGCTATCTAGTCCAAGCAATGGATTAGCTCAAAAAAAATTTTCAAGTTCGTGCTCAGGAAAAAAAATTTTGCAAAATTTTTTTGACGCTGTTTCTTAGAATTGCATGATAACCGTAGCTCCTAAAAAATTTCGACCGAAAGATCTAAAATCTAGAATCTTAGAGCTTCAAAATCCTTTTTTTTTAATTCCTGATACGACCGTTTTTTACCTAAATACATCTGTCAAAAATCACAGAAATATTTGAAAAATTCTTTTAACCCTTTAATTTTTTGCATTAGTTTAGAAAAGACCTTTTTTCGTGGAAATGAATCAAATGAATTGGGTTCTTAATGATGTAGTCTCTCAGTGTCTCCGCCACTGATTGATATAACGGCATGTAAATTCAGCCATTTTTTTTGTGAATTCAATGAGGTTATATCTCTAAATATTTTTTTTGTGAATTCAATGAGGTTATATCTCTAAATATCTCCGAATGTTTTTTTTTAATAATTCCAAACTTATCTTCTCTACAAATTGTTAATTTGTACCAATACAGTAAAAACTATGCAAAGAAAATTAAGAGATCATTTACATTCGAAATAAATTGACATAATTTTTACGGAAAATGTAATCGGTACACCTTATATCCGCCAAGCCACTATTACGCCATTATAGTTTGATTTGGGACTTAATTTGTTTCACGTTAGATGCCACTTTGTTTATTTACTGTACACACATAGTTTTGGTTTCAATATCTTCTTTTGCTCAGAAGACATTTAGAGATACATATATATTTTTTGAAAGTTTAAAAGCCTGTATCTCCAAAACGAGAGCAAATATTTATATAAGAAAATATTTGTACATTCCATCATTTTTTATATATTGTTGTTTCACCCTGTAAACGTATAACAAATTATGTTTTACGTCCAAAATCAAATACCCAAAATGAAATAAAAAATCGTTTTTCCGATTACCTGCCGAATATTATAGACAACGTCCAAAAAAAAAAGATTCCTAAGATACATCTAAGCATTTTGTGCGCCAACTTTGACACAAAATCTAGTATGGCAGTCTTATTTTCTACACTAACAGCACGGCTTTGGACAAACAAAAATCGAGAAACGTAAATTGAAATTGGTAAACTTTTTTTAATACAACCGACGTATGTAATTCTACTCTTGCATAAAAACATCATAAAATAAACAAATAAGATAATAATAGACATATTATTACGGTTTGAAATATATTAAACCGCAATTAATGTCGTTAAATTTATTTTGGAACTTGCAAATGTTTTATTTGCCCAAAACCTGCCCTGGATATGACTATTTGTTTCGTTATATGTAGATCGCTTGTGCAAGTCTCTTACCGAGCTGAGTTGGTAGTCTAAGTTGATTCCCACATAAATAAAATTTGTTTCGATACGCCTAAATAGCGATAATCGAAAAAAGTTGCGCAATTACTTGGTTCGTATACATTTTAAAACCAATCGGAAAAGCATATTTCACAACCTACATCATTATTGCTGCGATAATTGTTTCACTACTTCTTAAGCACATTTCGTAGGAAAGAATTTTTATCCTGGAAAATTTCGTAGGTTTAACAACTGCACATGGATTCACATTAATGTAATTTTTAAATTCGACCTCTTTAACATTTAAAAACTTTTGATCCAATAATTCTTTCTGGCACTGAGCAAGAAATGTCACAATTTGTGGCACATTTTTAAATGTGCCAATAAATTGGCCAATATATTGGCCGCTACCAACTTATCGAATAAAAAAGCAATCACGAACGATAAACCACACGCCATAATAAACTTTTAATGTATTTCAGACTAAAGTAATTGCAATAACAGCAACATAAGGACTATTTTTGAAATATTTCAAAACACAGGTGTCAAAATTGTTGAATAAATTAGCACCAATTCTATTGTTCCCCAACTTATTGGCCAATATATTCAAGCTGGGAAATTTATTAAAGTGTATATATTACTTGTATCTATGTAATTCATAGGATCAAAAACTGGTAAAAACGGAGTAATTTTAGTTAAATTCAACAATTTTGACATAGCTTATATTTCAAGTATTTAAGATTTAAACATTGGATTCTATTGGATTGGTAGCCTCTTTGACCAATAAATTGACCAATCTGCTGAAATGTGTAAAAAGATGTGGACGATAACAGCAAATTGCAATAATTTTTTGAACGATCTAGTTGGGAAAAATTTGTAGGAAACAAGCTTTACAGCTTTTTTAGTATTTAATTCCTTAAAATACCATTGAAAAAATTACGATATTGTGTTACTTTTGATATTTCATTTAATTTTATGATTTTTCTTGTACCAGACTAACAATCTGTTACATACAGGGTATCCATGTTTCATGCTGCACTATTGAGATCTCGGTTATCTTAACAGGTACGAGGTATGGAGAAACAACATAACAAGTTTTGTTTTTCTTATAAGCGCCATATTGGATTTTCATATTTTTGAATTCAGTGTATTTTTCTGATTTTGACGATGTGTCATTCGATAGTTTTTTTGTTTTCATCAAAATACCAAATTGTCCATTCTTACAAAGAGTGCTTTGAAAACAAAACATCCGAAAAGCAAATTTTGACAGTTCTGTTCAATTTCCATTGACGTCAAAATTCGGATAAATTAAATGTTATTTTACACATGAAACAGAGCTCGATAGTCTTCAAATCAATTAATCAAAAAGTTTGGAGCATATCTCGCTCCCCTTCATGTGAAAATTGCATTTTTAATTATCAAAACACACTGCCAAGAAAAATTTTACCGAACTGTCAAAATTGAAGCAATACTTTTGTTTTCAAAGCACTCTTTGCGGATGTTTTATATTTCGGCAATAACAAGGAGCAAACCATATCATCGTTTAGTTTATTGTAACCAGAAAAATATACCTACTGAATTAAAAAATATCAAAAATCCAATATGGCGACCATACTGAAAATAAACGTTACATGTTGTTTCGCTGTCCTGACAATGTCTGAATAAAAAAACCAACTCTCTTTATTTCCAATTCAAAACAAAACAATGTACCAAATCTATCTTCGACAGTTTTCATCCCTAAATTGTGAAACTTCGCGATAATTTGACTGACCTTGTACCTCTTAACATAACCTAACCTTCTCAAGGTTCCCACCGCGAGTTTTTCCATACCTACGAACGTATCAGATTTATACGAAAGCCCAACTTAGCCTAAACAGAGCACAGTTAGAGATCGACTACTCCGACTTTGACATTCATCGCCTTCTCTCGCCAACAGACCGACTTATAACATATTCCTCACACTTAAAACAGACATAATCACCTTCATTCGAAAGACATCACCGCCCTATCCTAATCTAGTGTCTTATGAACAACGAATACACGATAAATAGAGGAGCTTGGCATTGCTGGTGTTGTCCTTTCGATGACGAAGAATATCACACTACGATTCGTACTATGTTCGCCCGGTAACTCGGGTTACCAACTTTCCGCCCCCATGAACTTAACTATCTCCTCGTAGGTCAGCCAGAAAGTTAGGGACCAGGGCGCCATCCGCATCCAGATGGGCACGAAGCCCTTGTACAGAGCCCCGATGCCCTCTAGCCTGACTGTTTTCCGCAGGCAGTCTATGGAGGAAGTGTATAAGAGACCCCTAGAAAAAAATAAAACGGTATAATATGCTCCACTTAAGACCGATTCTTGTGTAATACTAGCTAGTAATAATAATAATAATAGTCGACAGTCAAAGAGAATCTCTTATAAATGTAACGTAATATGTTAGATATGTGAACATATAATAATAATAATAATAATAATAATAATAATAATAAGAATAATAATAATAATAATAATAATAATATCTCTACTCCTCATTCTAACTACGAGAATTAGCCCAGAAGTCAGAGACTTGTGCGGGAGAGGAGGCGGCATATTATTATTAAGCAGGCCGCATTTGCGCGCAGGAACGACTTATGTTGGTAGGCCCTAACCACCATTCAGTGCAGCAATGAGGGAAACCTGGAAAACCTCATTAATTAGGGGGGTGGTCAAATGCCAACCGGTGTCAATCTCTCACATTGACCCAAGCCAACATTCTTCCACCCTACCATACCTGTACAGAGGGTGCCAATCCTCCGTACAAGCATAGCTAATCTACGGTCTACCGGCCACGGGATTCGAAACCCGGGCAGATAGCACACATATCGATGTGTGCTATCTGCAAGTCCTGACGCTTTAAACCGTGCGGCTATCGACCGATAGCACATATGATACTAATTTAACTAATTTCTTAAATCGCAACATCAATAAGTTTGATAACCATTTCAAGTTTTTAATAAAACGCTTTTTTGTCAACATATTTTTTTAAAGCACGGTGTTTAGTTTGTAAATCTTAGTATCAATGACCTCTAACATTGACTTAGTTTCGGTACACTACATTTCACGGTCGTTTTTGGTCCTGAAAACTATTATTATTGTTGCACCTATTTTTTAAAACGGTAATAGCAACTAAAATTGTAAAAAATTGTGAATATATTCCAAATTCCGAAACTATAAAAACTAGACACTTTTAATAACATAGAGCGACAAAATTTTGAACCAGAGTATGGTCTATACTTTTCGGATGGGTTTTGACGACGATGTTACTTCACGAGGTAATTTTCCCCACAAAACTCGTTAAGGCATCTTAAAGTAATACTCTTTCAAAGTCAATTTCGAATCGTTCAGATATCTCTTTCCCCTTCCGAGAAATTGGAAATTTAAAATGGCGGATTCAATATGGCGACTTGAGTAAAAAAAATAGTTTATTGAATTCTGTAATTCTGACAGATTCGTAATCAGCGACTCCGGAAAATTTTAATAACCAGTGGGAATTTAGGTGTTTGTAATTTGGTTCTTCTCCCGTTTCCATATACAGGGTCGGAAAGTCCCCATGGTTCATCGGCAGTTACGTAGATCCACATCTTATTTGTGGAAGGGCGAAATGGGCGGTGACTATTAGACGCCTTCATTATAGCCATCTTTCTCTATCGCACGGATTTCTATGATTTACTTTATCGCTCTCACGTAACGGCCGATGAACCATGGGGACTTTCCGACCTTGTATATTAAAAGCTGTACGTTACACTCACTCCCACACTCGGCCGCGAAAAGTTATGACTTGCTATATCGAAGGTTTTTCCCGCGAGCCGCGAAGCGGCAAGCCAAGGGGTCCGAAGGGCCCCTCGGTCCTTCCTTCCTTTATTTATTTATTTAAGAAGTAGGAAACCCAACAGGATTAAAAGCCCGATAACAGGGTAACACTGAACAAGTAACAAAAAACAAGGTCATGAAGTACAATATAAACATAATCTAACTAATGTGAGAATACAAAAAAAAGACAAAAAAATTACCTATAAGAAATTATATCTTACAGAGGTTTTATATCTATTCAAAGAAATATTAAAGATATCAACTAGTTGACATAGACTGCTATTATCCCAACGTCGTATTCTGAATGCGATCTGTTCGCGCCTTCTATGTGAAATTTCCGCTTTAAAGAGTCCTCGCCGAAAACTGACTTTTTTCGGTGGGAGAGAGATACCCGAAGTATATCCGATATTTAGACAGAGATGGAGACAAACGTCAGTGAAGACGTCAAAATAAATTTTGTCATTTGCCGCGTTTTCCCGGCCGAGTCTTTATTTTGCCGTTAGGCATCGGTTTCGATTTTTTAGAGACGCGACGCGATAAAACTTGATTTGAACATTTTCAATTTTGTGTTTATATTTGCGAAGACCCGAGGTTTCAAATAGCCCGTGCAGGCTCCACACACCGTTAGATCACCGTAGCTCATTTTGTAGACTCGCAACTGCGAAGCGGGTCGCATTTTTTCTTTTTTCATTTGAAAAATGTGCCTATATTAATATTATTTACGAACACAGAGAATGCACCGCGGAGCGCTGCTCGAGCGCGCGCAGCGCGGCCCGAGGGCCGAAGGCCCGAGAGAAAGGTTAAGTCTCGTCAACGGACTTACCTACCTTTCTAGTTAGTTTTTAAATTATGCTATTAATTTTCCAAATTTTAACGAGTACGGCAAACAAACAACACACAGATTCCTGGAGAGGAAAAGAGATATTCGAAAAATTCAAACGGATTTTGAAGAAAAGTAGTACTCTCAGTTGCCGTAACGAGTTTCTTGGAGAAAAATTACTTGGTGATAACATAACCTCACGTACAGCGAAAAATCGTATTTTTCGCACTTTTATGTTAGAATATTTCTAAAATCTGAGCATATCTGAAGTCGAATTCAGATATAGCGTGTCGAAAACCTTTGGCAAAGTATAGTCAGCCTGTATAATCAGCAAGAAATTAAATCAAGCATATGTCTGTGTCATATTTAATATAGATTTCCTTTTAAACACATTTGTATCTTTTAAAATCTATCTGGTCTTGTTATTATTTAATTTCAGAGATATAAGAAGCTTACAAATATTAATAAAAAAAAAACAAATAACACGAAAATGATATGTCTAGAAATTCAAAAATGCATTAGTATGCAGCATGGTGTTCCATTTGAAAATATTTTGTTAGACAACACGCAGGAAAAGTGTGACACCCTGTACAATCGAAAATGATTTTAAAATGTGAAGAAATTGATTTGGCGGTACTTTTATTTTAAACACTTTTAGGAATTTCGCTTGCCACTTACCTTCCTTTTTCGTCCAAGGGCTGGTTCATTACTCTAGTCTTAATCACGTCGGCGGGAGTGCCCATGGACGCCGCGACCAAACCGGCACAACTGCTAGCCATCATGTGGACCAAATGATTGTCGGGTAAGTTTGTGTGCCTCATGATGAACCTCTTGGCCACGTCGTAAGTAGTCAGATCACCTAAATTCACTAAAGCCGCCCTTTGAACGTTGGGCACAGACCCTGGAAGGAAAAAAAACATCAGAAAATGACAAGTAACTGCGTACCGATTTTGGTCTATTTACCTTTCCATAAACCCCTGATCCCACCGCTGGACCAAACCTTCTGGAAGGCGTCGTACATGCCGTGGACTCGAGGGGGCAGGCCCAGGAGTCTCCTCTTGCCCTCCATTTGGAGTTGGACTTTAAGTAAATCCGCCGGACTAGAAATGTATTGAGAAAACGCACCTGCGGTGATGCCACCTAAAAATTATCGGAAAAAAAAATGTTTTAGGAAAGCAGATTATAGCTTTAACAATTTGTGATCCGATAAATTGTTCAAGAGATTCAACAGGAAGTTATTAGTTCGTTATAATCGAGACACCTTTTTATTTTCACTCAATTTTTGAAATCTGACCTAAGAAGCCATTTATAGAGCCTCTACGCGCAGAAAACCTAGTCAAAAGTAGTTGCCGATGCTCAACTGCGTCCAGCCAACCATTCCTGTGAAACACAAGACGAAATTTTTACCTATGTCGGTATTGTCCGCAGAGCTGTGAATTGTTCTAAACACCCCAAGAAGCCACAACAAGCTAGATTAGGAGGACCCACATTGTTGTACACAAATCTAGAATAACGGCCCGATTCCACGACACGGAAGTAAACAGCCATGCTCACGCAGCTACCCCGAAATGTGATCGAACGTCGACTTTGGGATCACGCAGTTCCGTAACCAGAGCGGAAATCTCGGCCAGTGTAGATATACGATTTGAATTCAAGTATTAGTTCCCTTTCAATCAGTCAATCTGAAGTCGTTCTTGCTCATTTAGAGGAAGTAAGTCCTAAAGCTATACTGACTACTAGGCGAAAATTACAATCTGTCAAAATTTTGACTTACATAAGGCGGACTGCCACACTGGGAAATATTTCTCCTGCGGATTAGGCTTGAACACCTTCTCCTTCAAGGCCTTGTAAGTAATTATCCTAGTTCCTGAGTACACCAAATGCCTGGCGAAAGCAGCGTGCACCCCTTGCCACAGCCTACTTAGACCCTCTTCTTTCGTTATCCCGATTGCCGTTCTAAACATACCTCTGTACGGTGCCTAAAAATAATTTTAATTCCCTTCAAGTTAGGTACATTTTTCACTAAAGTAAATCTAAATTTTTAACTTACCTTGCCTATTTTGCCATTGTTGTTTTTGTTCGTTTGTTCACCCTGTATCTGGAGTCTTGTTTTTATTAGATCAAGGGGGTAAGTAACTGAAATGAAAAATAAGTATCTAATGAAATGAATTATTTAGTTTTTTTCATATAACACATTAATTTAATGCTTATTTGATGTAAAGCACATCATTTTGATGGTGGTTGAAAACCTGATGCAATTTCGATCAAGACAGTCTATGTTTAGTTACTACTTATTTATTTTAATGCTTTGCAATGAATCAGCTATATATTACAGTTAATAGCAGCCATCAATAAAATCAATTTATTATTTTTAGAAAATTACCACAGTAAAACAAATAAATAAAACTTGAATACAGACATATATACATACAGTAGTCCCGTCTGTATGAATTAAATTTTAACTATAGGTAGACAAAAACTGAGTGAAAAACATATTGAATTGTAAAACATATGTTTTCTGTGTACAGGGCAGTATTGATTGGGGTTATTACATGGTCAACAACATAATTTTTATAGTATGGAGACATAGGTGTAGAGAAGAAGTGACTTTTTTTCTACCCCAAGTTGCGCCACTGAAGCAATTATCAATTATCAAAAATTTTGTATAGATCAATCACAAATACGCGTAATACATATACACGAAATTTGCACCACTTTAGGACACGAAAATCAAGCTATAAATATAGATTCGTATTATTAACAGCGTTGCCCGTTAGTCCGACACGAATATCCACAAATCGCTATTTACTCTCCACGTGACGTCATAATAGAAAACAACTTCCGATCAAAAGTTTGTACCCACGTGTGTAAGCTGATGTAGGGCATCTAAGCGGACAAAGAATAAATGGCGACATAGCTCGACATTTGTTCACTTCCAAACCACCAGATTTCTTCAAACGTGGCATAGAAAAACTGTCAAATTGTTGGGAGACAATCGTAAATAATGTAGGGGAATATATTCTTGATTAGTTCATGTATTTCGTTTATTAGTTCATTACTTTGTTTACTTACATAATAAAAGCTATTAACAGAATCCTATTTGGATATATTTTGCTTACCAAATTCTGCATTAAAGGCAGCCAAGACGGATACTATGTAAACGCACCATAACGAGTCTACGAATTTTGGAAATTCTGCCTTCTGCGGTGGGACGGGGGGCATTTTCGCTAGATCTCCTGCAACAAAATTGTCTATTAATATTGTTTAATCTTAAATACATACTTTTTGTTAATTTCACACTTTGATGGCGGTCCTAAGCTTTCCCAACTGACGAGTTACAACAAGCGCGAAACTTCAAGACAACAATTAATGTAGTTGCACCACCGACCGCAATATTCGAAACTTTGAAGCAAAATCAAGCAATTTCAACAAAGCGTTTATTTAACTTTTGGACAGAGTTCTCAGAAAAATTTATTATTAAGTACTTATGTATTTCATAATTTCACAAAAAGTTTGTTGATATATCCCGACGCCGAATGTAAACAAAGACGAATACGAAAAGATAAAAAATTGTTTTTATTTAGGTAATGTCGAGCGGTTCATGTATTATTTTTGGTGTTACTCTTCATTTCGCTATCTAACGAAAACATTCGGAGTTTTTTTATCGAATATCATTATTATTATGATTAATTGCACAAACGCTAAAGCTGAAGCAATTAATTATTCTAATTAGTAACAATCAGCCAGCTGCAACAAAGGTCGCGAACAAACGCAAAATTCACAGTGCCGGAAAACCTTGAATCACGAAAAAATATGCAAGCCGAAAAAATTGGTTCACAACACAACGACAAAGAAATTGTAAATGTCAACCCTAGCTGCATACCTATTATTTGTATGTGCATTGTTTTTACTTCCACGTAAAACTATTAAAAGCGAAGTCAAAGTGCTCACTTGTTTTCATTCAAATGTGAAAATAAAGTGGACTTTGTCCCATGCATTACGAAATTTAAAGGTGCACGCATTTTTCGTAGAAAAGTGTTTGTCCAGTTTTACGAGTTAGGTAAAAATGTATTTCAATGGTGAAAGACAACACAGTAATTATTTTTATTGTAAAAGAAAAATTTACAAAAAAAACGCAACAGTATTTCTAACCATCCAAGGAATTATCGTAATTAAAAAAATTTGCTTTGTTAGGAGAACAAAACCGCAATTTTAGATTTAAAATAGGTAATTCTGATCCTAGATTAAGAAGCAGATTAAGAAAACATCTGAAAATTATTAAATAGTGAAAACCATTGGTAACATACGACCCAGAGCATAACATCCCCGTATAGCTTGTTTCAAAAGTTGACACGTTTTCGTGGAAGTTTTCCCCAGTTTACTAATACTTAAACGTTCAATTAAATGAGAATATAACGAAAACTAAATGAAATATCAACAATCCATGAACGTTAAAATATTAAGATAATGTCAGCATCGAAATTAGAGCTTCAGAACAAGATTATGGTTTTAATTTAGATTCTAGACTTCGACTCCGGACCAAAAAAAAAGGAAACGTATTAAGGTCAATTATTTAAAAAAAATAAACCATCAAATATTAATTGTCTTACTAGAAAGGTAAGCAAACTTCGCTGACGCGAAGTTTGACCTTTCTCTCGGGCCTTCGGCCCTAGAGCCGCGCTGCGCGCGGCCCGAGCACCGCTCCGCGGTGCTCTCCTCGCTGGTTAGTAAATATAATATTTTTTGAAACACCCTGTACTTTAGTTTTTAAACACCCCGTATATAAAAGTTTAATGAGAACGTTTTTCAAAAAAGAGTAGGCCCCGCTCGGGGAAAGACTAAGAAAAGTTTCTTCCAAACTTCCAAAAAAGGCATCTGGTTAAATGAAAAAGGAAAAACCTAGTCCACCTGTGTCAGTTTTATGAAACACCCAGTACATAAATTGCAAAAAACATGTGGTTAGTAGGGAATAAGATTTTTCATAAAAATATTGCAGACTTCAGTACAAACTGTAGAAATGGAAACAAATATACCTAAGGAAAGTTTCGTTCTGTTGGTAATTGGATCAGTTTTGTGGAACATCCAGTATAAAGATTCAAAAAGACACCTGGTTAATAAATATACAATTTTTCATTCAAAGACTTTAGTAAATAAAGACAAAGTTAAAAGTGAAAAAGGAAAAAATTGCCCGTAATTCAGCAGATGTGGGTCAATTTTGTGGAACGCCCAGTACATATATAGATTTTCTAAAAAGCGGCTGGTCAATAAATATACAACTTTTCATCAAAAGATTCCATGAAAAAATTAACAAAATGAATAAGGGAAAATCTGGTACACCTGTGTCAGTTTTATGGAACATCCTGTACATAAATTGCAAGAAACACCTGGTTAGTAGAATATAAGGTTTTTCATAAAAATATTGTCGACTTCAGTACAAAATATAGAAAAGGAAAAAACATTCTATTCGTAATTTTAATCTGCATCAGAATTGTAGAATACTCAGTATAAAAATTCAAAAAGACAACTGGTTAATAAGTATACAATTTTTCATTAAAAGACTTTAGTAAATAAAGACAAAGTTAAAAGTGAAAAGGAACAAACCTGTGTCAGTTCTATGAAACATCCTGTACATGAATTGCAAAAAACACCTGGTTAGTCGGGTTTTTCATAAAAATATTGCAGACTTCAGTACAAAATATAGAAAAGGAAAAAACATTAAGGAATGTTTCGTTCTATTGGTCATAAATACTCAGTATAAAAATTCAAAAAGACAACTGGTTAATAAGTATACAATTTTTCATTAAAAGACTTTAGTAAATAAAGACAAAGTTAAAAGTGAAAAGGATAAAAATTGACCGTTTCAGATATGGATCAATTTTATGGAACACCCAGTACATATATGGATTTTCTAAAAAGCGGCTGGTCAGTAAATATACAACTTCAAAAGATTTCATGAAAAAATTAACAAAATGAATCAGAGAAAATCTGGTCCATCTGTGTCAGTTTTATGAAACATCCTGTACATAAATTGCAAGAAACATTTGACACCGTGTGTAGAAATATCTATTTGAAAATTTAGGTAGGTAGTGAAATGAGAAAAAAATCCTAGTCCGCCTGTGTCATTTTTATGAAACACTCAGTATATAAATTTGCAAAATGACTCTGAGTTCTACAATATAAGATTTTTTATAAAAATATTGCGACAATAAATTTCTGAAATATACAGAAGTCTCTAGACCGATAATTTTGACTTGGGTCAGTTATGTAGAACATGCAGTATATGGATTTTCAAAAAACCCTTTGGTTAGCAACTATATAACTTTTCATGAAAAGATTTAAAAAAAAATATTATTACATTCCCCCTTTAATACCTCCAATTTGTACAAAAATTCTATATAAACAAAGAGTGCTTATGCTCTTATTCGTTAATAATAATTAATTAAAATTAGTCGTACAAATATGTATTGTTAAAAGAAGAGAAATTCAATTTAATTCGCGCGATACTTGAAGTTTTAAGAACGAAGCATTAGCCCGCACCAGCTCTATCTCTCTCGCACACGTCTATGCCATTGCCGTTTATATTGGCAAAATGACAGTCGGGCGAATCCAGTAGTTTATAAGTTCTATGGTCCCGTCTGGTTTCCTAACCTAAATTACTTACGGAATACGTCAAATATCAATTAGTATTTTCCTTCCATCGATCTATGGTTCGTTGTGATATTCTAACCTCAATTGGAAACGTCAAATATAGCGAAATTTATTTTGACGTTTCAATCTGACATTCTTCGTGATTTTTAGATTTTCGTCGATTTGCGTTCAGGGCTGGTTGAATCTCTATTTCGCTTATAAAATGGCCGTATGTCAGTGAGAAGTCCACCCAGAAAGGTACATTTGAAAACGCGAATATAAAGTTGCAAAAATTTCATTAAGCGACGAACGAAGGGAGATGAGGCGCGGTTATGCCGCTTCGGATCTCGCGGAGAAACCCAGTCCGTCCGCCAAAATGGTAGTTTTCCAATCTGGCTTGAGCGCGTAGTGTCGTCGTTCACAGCTGAAGTAATAAACAATTTTTGTAATGTTAAATTTGCATTTTTCTAACACAAAGTCGTCTCGCAAAAGATCCACAATGAGATAACACAGATAAATAACGACATCCTATAACTTGAAAGAGTCTTTAACTCCAACTTATTCTTAACTTTTGACGTTTGGGGAGTAATAGATACGAATGCAATATAGTAAATTAACGAAGCAAATGTACTAATACAAAGGTTCAAGGGTTTAGGTACTATGGATTGGTTTAAAATTATGCTGTTTTAGAGGGCAAGTACTTACGTTTATTCGGGGGACAGGTATCGTAATCCTAGGCATGTCAAACGGTAGAGCTGCGAAAATGTAAATAACAACCTAACCTAATAATAAGAAATACCTGTATATGTCGTGGCGTAGCAATGTATTAAGGTTAAAAAAGGCCTAGTAAGGTAAAATAACGGTTCGTCGCGACCCCACAGACGTCTTTCGCGTTTGGCGTGAAATTATTTTGACATAATTAATCTGACGTTTCTAACGACGTTCCAATTTTCTCCCGGTGGGCGTGTCTTAAAGCTTCAATCTTACGGCTTTCGAAATGGTCGTCTGTCGTCGAGCAGACCCCAAAAAGAAGGCAAAATTAAATATGAAAACGCGAAAAAAACGTTACAAAAATGCCCCCGAACGACTAAGGAGGAACGACTGAGTAACTGTGCCAAGTCGCACGCCGTTTCGAGGCTCGCGAAGAAGAAATTTTATGCGGCAAAATTCACAATTTTTCGGCCTTCCTAGACAGTGCATTTTAACGTATTTACGGCCGCATTTCGAATCCCGCGTTTGATTTCGCGGAAATTTGTACATAAAAAGTTGGAAGAAGGCACCCGGTCGACGAATATGAGTATTTTCGGCACGGTTTTAAATGAAATATCGTAGAAAATGGGGGAAATAAAAAATAAAAAAGCCGTACCGCGCGCGATTCGAGGCGATCGGCGACCGTCAGCTTTCAGCGGGAGGGCGTGTCGGACTATCGCCGTTCACACAAAAATTGGGCCACGCCCCCCGTAGGCTTCCGGAAAACGGGAAAAATCGCCTCGAAGACGTCGAGACGCCGTGTTGTAAATACGACGGCGCGACGTAGCTAGGAAGGCGAAGCCCTTCGGGCTTCGCCGGGGATCGCTGCGCGATCCGGGGGCGAAGCCTTTGCAATCCAAAGTCGGCCCTTTTTCGGCCCGATCGTGCGACGCAGACGGAGCTATCAGATTTTAATATATATTGATTCATAAGTGTTGTTTTGATACTTGGGAAACAGAATTAAAATATCAACTTTTTAAGACAGATTAGAAAAGATAAATTTTGACAAGTGAAACTTCATTTGAAAAAAAAATAATTATTTGTAATACACAAAATTGACGCTAATTTATTGATGATCATAAATTCATGAAGAAATTGTAACAATAGAACCATTGTAGGATTATTTTCTTATTATTCGCAATTTCATTCAAGTCGTAAGACAAGTAGAAGGTAGAGATGTTTTAAAATCTTATGAGCTTTGACCTTCATATGCGCAGAAACATAATTCCGACCGTCGCCTAAATTATTCTACATCCTAAAAACATTGCACCTATTATTCACAGTCTCTCTCGAGCTCTAGCGTAAACAAGCCTTTGATCCGATTACAAATATTATAATAAAATGCCCTATTCTTTATTATTTTAATTTAAACAATAAAAATATATA